ACCAAAAAACTTTCAATTTTGTTTTTTGTTTTGTTTTGTTTATTTGTTATGATTGTATATATGTGAAAAATATTCTTGAAAATTGAGAAAAATTCAATCAATCAATCGAATGATTGATTGAATTTGAATTCAAACCAACCATCCAATGAATCAATTTACCATCCGATATTCTTCCATATTCTTTGATCATCATCATCTTCAGCCAAAGCCATCTATATTCTCTAGCCATTTATATTCTCACACATTCTCTCTTTGTTTTTGGATGGCAGAAAAACATTACACTTTCCAAATATGTGATGGGATCGTGATGTTTTTTTCTCGTGATTATCGAGAATTTGGCCAAAAGGCAAAATCAAATATGGACGATGAAAATGGGATTTTTGCTTTTCCGCACAAACAAAAGCCCGGTTTATACGTGTGTATACTGTACCAGTGTAAAAGTGTCAAAAAGAATTAGGATTTTCGTTTGGGCAAAGAATTGAAATGAATGGAAATTCTTTAAGAATTTTTAATTCAATTTTCTTTTACAGGACGAAAAAAGGATCGATCGATCGAAATCAATCGATCGATTTTTGGCTGGTTGGTTGAGAAGAAAAAAATGGATCATTTTTTTTCCACTTGGACCGATAAATAAGTGTGTTGATGGCGTGCATGCGTGCGTGGGTGTTAAAAACAAAAACAAGAAAATGTTTACAGAATTAATTTGTTGATGATGAGAAAGTGAGGGAGAAAAAAATTCTTGATACTTAAAAAGAAAATTTCCGACAAGTTGTGCGAAAAGGAGAAATCTTTTTGGAAAACATTTTCTTCACGAAAAACATTCTTTTGATGAGAATCTAAATTGAATCAAAATGACTATTTTTACAAATTGCGACAACAACAACAACAACAAGCATCATTTCTTTTCATTCCTTATTTTTTGGGGGGCCATCAATAAAAGACATACCGTAATGTGTGTGTGATTGAAGTGAAGTGAATGTAAGTAAGAAAGATGCCTGTTTCTGTCTTTTCAGAGAATTTGAGTGCAAGAATAAATTGTTTTTCATATATGATCATGGCGTGTGTTTGTAACAGCAGCAGCCGTGTTGATGATTAAATTAAAAAAGGGGGTGGAAAAAAACGGGGGGAAAGCGTTTTTTACCCTCATATAAGATTTGGTATTCATAAACATGATGTGTGTGTGTTTGTGTGATATACACAAACGTTTGTTCCAAAATAGATCCAAAACAAGAAAATGGGGGGGAAAAAAATAAGAAAAAGTTTTTTTCCGTACAAAAATGATGGACAGAAAAGGAAAAAAAAGTAGCAATGGTGGGGAATGGTGGGGGAAAGAAAAGAAGAAAGAAAGTAAGGAAAATGTAGGTCATTTTTGTCATTTTTGTTTTTTCGAGAAAAAAATTGGTGATAATGATAATGATAATGATTATTATTTAAAAGACATTTGTAGTTTTTTGGCTATTTCTACTTTTGCTATTTCTACTTTCCTTTTTTCTATTTCCCTTTTTTTTTCTCTTTGATTGCCAATAATCATTTGTAGTTTTTCGTAATCATCATCATCGATATTATTGATATTGATTATCGATTGTTAAAATATTGCAAAGTTTTTCTCATTTTCCGCCATTTGGATTTTTGTTTTTTCGTTTGGATTTTTGTTTTGTTTTTGTTCTTCATATTCGAATTGAATGAAATGGAATGAATGCAAGCAAAAAAATCAATTGATATTTTTAAAAGTAAAAGTAAAAATTTTTTTTAAACGAAAAAGAAAAAAAACCACTTAGGTAATATCCATTTACTTATAATAATAATAATATGATTATCATTTTAATTTATAAATATAATTATAATTAATTAATTAATGGTTTTTCTTGTTTTTGTAATTTTTTTTTTTTTTTTTTTTTTTTTTTTTTTTTTTTTTTTGGGGTTAAAAAAAAAAAAAAAAAAAAACAAAAAAAAAAA